TAACCCTAACCCTAACCCTAACCCTAACCCTAACCCTAACCCTAACCCTAACCCTAACCCTAACCCTAACCCTAACCCTAACCCTAACCCTAACCCTAACCCTAACCCTAACCCTAACCCTAACCCTAACCCTAACCCTAACCCTAACCCTAACCCTAACCCTAACCCTAACCCTAACCCTAACCCTAACCCTAACCCTAACCCTAACCCTAACCCTAACCCTAACCCTAACCCTAACCCTAACCCTAACCCTAACCCTAACCCTAACCCTAACCCTAACCCTAACCCTAACCCTAACCCTAACCCTAACCCTAACCCTAACCCTAACCCTAACCCTAACCCTAACCCTAACCCTAACCCTAACCCTAACCCTAACCCTAACCCTAACCCTAACCCTAACCCTAACCCTAACCCTAACCCTAACCCTAACCCTAACCCTAACCCTAACCCTAACCCTAACCCTAACCCTAACCCTAACCCTAACCCTAACCCTAACCCTAACCCTAACCCTAACCCTAACCCTAACCCTAACCCTAACCCTAACCCTAACCCTAACCCTAACCCTAACCCTAACCCTAACCCTAACCCTAACCCTAACCCTAACCCTAACCCTAACCCTAACCCTAACCCTAACCCTAACCCTAACCCTAACCCTAACCCTAACCCTAACCCTAACCCTAACCCTAACCCTAACCCTAACCCTAACCCTAACCCTAACCCTAACCCTAACCCTAACCCTAACCCTAACCCTAACCCTAACCCTAACCCTAACCCTAACCCTAACCCTAACCCTAACCCTAACCCTAACCCTAACCCTAACCCTAACCCTAACCCTAACCCTAACCCTAACCCTAACCCTAACCCTAACCCTAACCCTAACCCTAACCCTAACCCTAACCCTAACCCTAACCCTAACCCTAACCCTAACCCTAACCCTAACCCTAACCCTAACCCTAACCCTAACCCTAACCCTAACCCTAACCCTAACCCTAACCCTAACCCTAACCCTAACCCTAACCCTAACCCTAACCCTAACCCTAACCCTAACCCTAACCCTAACCCTAACCCTAACCCTAACCCTAACCCTAACCCTAACCCTAACCCTAACCCTAACCCTAACCCTAACCCTAACCCTAACCCTAACCCTAACCCTAACCCTAACCCTAACCCTAACCCTAACCCTAACCCTAACAGTCTAAAGTCTAAAGTCTAAAGTCTAAAGTCTAAAGTCTAAAGTCTAAAGTCTAAAGTCTAAAGTCTAAAGTCTAAAGTCTAAAGTCTAAAGTCTAAAGTCTAAAGTCTAACCCCCAGTGTCTAAGTCTAACGCCCAGTGTCTAAGTCTAACCCCCAGTTTCTAAGTCTAACCCTTAGTGTCTAAGTCTAACCCCCAGTGTCTAAGTCTAACGCCCAGTGTCTAAGTCTAACGCCCAGTGTCTAAGTCTAAGTCTAACGCCCAGTGTCTAAGTCTAAGTCTAACCCCCAGTGTCTAAGTCTAACGCCCAGTGTCTAAGTCTAAGTCTAACCCCCAGTTTCTAAGTCTAACCCTTAGTGTCTAAGTCTAACCCCCAGTGTCTAAGTCTAACGCCCAGTGTCTAAGTCTAACGCCCAGTGTCTAAGTCTAACGCCCAGTGTCTAAGTCTAACCCCCAGTTTCTAAGTCTAACCCTTAGTGTCTAAGTCTAACGCCCAGTGTCTAAGTCTAAGTCTAACGCCCAGTGTCTAAGTCTAAGTCTAACCCCCAGTGTCTAAGTCTAACGCCCAGTGTCTAAGTCTAACCCCCAGTTTCTAAGTCTAACCCTTAGTGTCTAAGTCTAACCCCCAGTGTCTAAGTCTAACGCCCAGTGTCTAAGTCTAACGCCCAGTGTCTAAGTCTAAGTCTAACGCCCAGTGTCTAAGTCTAAGTCTAACCCCCAGTGTCTAAGTCTAACGCCCAGTGTCTAAGTCTAAGTCTAACCCCCAGTTTCTAAGTCTAACCCTTAGTGTCTAAGTCTAACCCCCAGTGTCTAAGTCTAACGCCCAGTGTCTAAGTCTAACGCCCAGTGTCTAAGTCTAACGCCCAGTGTCTAAGTCTAACCCCCAGTTTCTAAGTCTAACCCTTAGTGTCTAAGTCTAACGCCCAGTGTCTAAGTCTAAGTCTAACGCCCAGTGTCTAAGTCTAAGTCTAACCCCCAGTGTCTAAGTCTAACGCCCAGTGTCTAAGTCTAAGTCTAACCCCCAGTTTCTAAGTCTAACCCTTAGTGTCTAAGTCTAACCCCCAGTGTCTAAGTCTAACGCCCAGTGTCTAAGTCTAACGCCCAGTGTCTAAGTCTAACGCCCAGTGTCTAAGTCTAACCCCCAGTTTCTAAGTCTAACCCTTAGTGTCTAAGTCTAACGCCCAGTGTCTAAGTCTAACGCCCAGTGTCTAAGTCTAACGCCCAGTGTCTAAGTCTAAGTCTAACCCCCAGTGTCTAAGTCTAACGCCCAGTGTCTAAGTCTAAGTCTAACCCCCAGTTTCTAAGTCTAACCCTTAGTGTCTAAGTCTAACCCCCAGTGTCTAAGTCTAACGCCCAGTGTCTAAGTCTAACGCCCAGTGTCTAAGTCTAACCCCCAGTTTCTAAGTCTAACCCTTAGTGTCTAAGTCTAACGCCCAGTGTCTAAGTCTAACGCCCAGTGTCTAAGTCTAACGCCCAGTGTCTAAGTCTAACCCCCAGTTTCTAAGTCTAACCCTTAGTGTCTAAGTCTAACCCCCAGTGTCTAAGTCTAACCCCCAGTGTCTAAGTCTAACGCCCAGTGTCTAAGTCTAAGTCTAACGCCCAGTGTCTAAGTCTAACCCCCAGTTTCTAAGTCTAACCCTTAGTGTCTAAGTCTAACCCCCAGTGTCTAAGCCTAACGCCCAGTGTCTAAGTCTAACCCCCAGTTTCTAAGTCTAACCCTTAGTGTCTAAGTCTAACCCCCAGTTTCTAAGTCTAACCCTTAGTGTCTAAGTCTAACCCCCAGTTTCTAAGTCTAACGCCCAGTGTCTAAGTCTAAGTCTAACGCCCCGTGTCTAAGTCTAACCCCCAGTTTCTAAGTCTAACCCTTAGTGTCTAAGTCTAACACCCAGTGTCTAAGTCTAAGTCTAACCCTTAGTGTCTAAGTCTAACGCCCAGTGTCTAAGTCTAAGTCTAACGCCCCGTGTCTAAGTCTAACCCCCAGTTTCTAAGTCTAACCCTTAGTGTCTAAGTCTTTGTCTAAGTCTAACGCCCAGTGTCTAAGTCTAACCCCCAGTTTCTAAGTCTAAGTCTAACCCTTAGTGTCTAAGTCTTTGTCTAAGTCTAACGCCCAGTGTCTAAGTCTAAGTCTAACCCCCAGTGTCTAAGTCTAACCCCCAGTTTCTAAGTCTAAGTCTAACCCTTAGTGTCTAAGTCTTTGTCTAAGTCTAACGCCCAGTGTCTAAGTCTAAGTCTAACCCCCAGTGTCTATGTCTAAGTCTAAGCCCCGTCTAAGTCTACCACCCTCCACACCTACCTTTCTCACCTACCTTCCAGTGTCCTTCCAGTCGTTGCCGTGACAAAGCAAGACACACAACATACGTGCATTGTTTAACTGTTTGTTTATTACAGCACTGTTTCCACAAGGCATGACTCATACAATCATATACATACGCGCTATACCAGCAACTACACATTGAGAAGCAAAACATGTAATGAACATGGATCTCTGATTCCAAGACTTAGTTTATAGGCGCAGCATCCACACATTCTGTACATGGCACAACACAGTTTACAGGCGCAACTTAACACATATTGCATACATGGCACGACGCAATTTACAGGCGCAGCACACGCATACGCAGTACACTTTAAGACATGGTTCACATAGATGTCAGACCAACCAGAGAAAGGGTACAAAGCCTCCACACCCCATTGGTGACACCACACTTGTGAGAATGTTGCATACCGCAACCCACCTCAAAAGCAGTGCAGACCTCAGCCCACCCAAAGACATTGCAATTCTCAGAACGGCCACAAAGGGGCGCGAGTCTCAGACTGGCCGGGAAGGAACAAAATCGCCTCCAACGGCCCTTGGTTACGGGGTTGGGTTAGCCCTGCCTAGGAGCAAACAAAGCAAGGCTAGCCCAACCCCGTAACCAAGGCAAAGCTAAAGCCAATATGGCTTACATTAATTGAATGTAAAACTAAAGCCAATTTGGTTGAAGTCAATTGAATGCAAGGCTAAAGCCAATTTGGTTGAAGCCAACTGAATGCAAAACCAAAGCCAATTTGGTTCAAGTCAATTGAATGTAAAGCTAAAGCCAATTTGGTTGAAGCCAATTGAATGCAAGGCTAAAGCCAATTCGGTTGAGATAAATTGAACGCACATGCTGAAATCAGAGCAACTCTCAAAATGGCCGCAATGGGGCGCAAGTCTCAGACTGGCCGGGAGGAACAAAATCGCCTCCAACGGCCCTTGGTTACGGGGTTGGGTTAGCCCTGCCTAGGAGCAAACAAAGCAAGGCTAGCCCAACCCCGTAACCAAGGCAAAGCTAAAGCCAATTTGGCTTACATTAATTGAATGTAAAGCTAAAGCCATTTGGTTGAAGCCAATTGAATGCAAGGCTAAAGCCAATTTGGTTGAAGTCAATTGAAAGCAAAGCCAAAGCCAATTTGGTTGATGCAAAATGATTGCAAGGCTAAAGCCAATTTGGTTGAGATAAATTGAACGCAGATGCTGAAATCAGAGCAACTCTCAAAATGGCCGCAATGGGGCGCGAGTCTCAGACTGGCCGGGAGGAACAAAATCGCCTCCAACGGCCCTTGGTTACGGGGTTGGGGTAGCCCTGCCTAGGAACAAACAAAGCAAGGCTAACCCAACCCCGTAACCAAGGCAAAGCTAAAGCCAATTTGGCTTACATTAATTGAATGTAAAGCTAAAGCCAATTTGGATGAAGTCAATTGCATGTAAAGCTAAAGCCAATTTGGTTGAAGCCAATTGAATGCAAGGCTAAAGCCAATTTGGTCGAAGTCAATCGAATGCAAAGCTAAAGTCAATTTGGTTGAAGTCAATTGAATGCAAAGCTAAAGCCAATTTGGTTGATGCAAAATGATTGCAAGGCTAAAGCCAATTTGGTTGAGATAAATTGAACGCAGATGCTGAAATCAGAGCAACTCTCAAAATGGCCGCAATGGGGCGCGAGTCTCAGACTGGCCGGGAGGAACAAAATCGCCTCCAACGGCCCTTGGTTACGGGGTTGGGGTAGCCCTGCCTAGGAACAAACAAAGCAAGGCTAACCCAACCCCGTAACCAAGGCAAAGCTAAAGCCAATTTGGCTTACATTAATTGAATGTAAAGCTAAAGCCAATTTGGATGAAGTCAATTGCATGTAAAGCTAAAGCCAATTTGGATGAAGTCAATTGCATGTAAAGCTAAAGCCAATTTGGTTGAAGCCAATTGAATGCAAAGCTAAAGCCAATTTGGTTGAAGTCAATTGAATGCAAAGCTAAAGCCAATTTGGTTGATGCAAAATGATTGCAAGGCTAAAGCCAATTTGGTTGAGATAAATTGAACGCAGATGCTGAAATCAGCACAACTCTCAAAATGGCCGCAATGGGGCGCGAGTCTCAGACTGGCCGGGAGGAACAAAATCGCCTCCAACGGCCCTTGGTTACGGGGTTGGGGTAGCCCTGCCTAGGAACAAACAAAGCAAGGCTAACCCAACCCCGTAACCAAGGCAAAGCTAAAGCCAATATGGCTTACATTAATTGAATGTAAAACTAAAGCCAATTTGGTTGAAGTCAATCGAATGTAAAGCTAAAGCCAATTTGGTTTACATTAATTGAATGTCAAGCTAAAGCCAATTTGGTTGAAGTCAATTGAATGGACATGCTGAAATCAGCACAACTCTCAAAATGGCCACAAAGTGGCACGAGTCTGAAAATGGCCTGGAGGGAACTCAGATGGCATCAGAAGGAAGCGTTGATTGGCCTGGGAGCAGAAGGGCCCTCAGGAAGGGTGCGGGTGGGTTGGATCGCTGGGCTGAGGCCGATGGGATGAACTGCAATGAGACCGAGCGCCGCATCCCACACGCTGTCTGCGATGACCTTGGTAGGGGCTTGTGGCAGAGTGACGGGAAGATCATGGAAAGGGAACGGAGCGGGGATTCGGGTAACGGTTGACCGAACCGAGCTGGCGGTGAGTGTGGGAGGCCTGGAAAGCCGATGGCGTCGCAGGGGGAAGTCATCGACTGGAAGCGTCCAAGGCATCTTCACCTGTAATACAGAGACACGCTTTAGAAGGAGGAAGGCCGAGACCCAAACTGTGCTCACCGTCAGCCCACCCCCACAAAACGTGGAAGCCAAACACCGCTCCAAGAAAAGGCTTCAGAGTAAGGTTAGGAGTATTTAACAGGAAAGGTGTTAGGGTTAGGTACATCAGGATTAGGGTTAGAGTGACCGTTAGGGAAGGCCAAGGCAAAGGCAAGAGCAAAAGGCAAGGAGAACAGCCGAGGGAACGCCAAAACAGAGGGCAAAGGGATGGGAAAGACATGGAGAACGCCAAAGGTCGCGTCAGAGGTCAGGCCCAAGGAGAAGGCCGCAGAGAACGCCAGAATGGAGACCAAAGAGATCGACGCAGAAGGCCAAAATGGAGGGCGAGGTCTGTGAGAACGCTGCAGGGAAGGCCGATGCAGAAGGTCAAGGGCAATGGCCAAAGACAATGTGGCACAAAAGGCCAAAACCAAAGGCAAAGAGAATGCTGTAGGAGAAGACAAAACAAGAGGCCAAAGGGAATGTGGCAAAGAAGGCCAGGAGCAATGGCCGAAAAGAACGTGGAAGGGAACGCCAAAATAGAAGCCAAAGAGAACGCCGCAGGGAACGCCAGAACAGGAGGCCAAAGGGAATGGGGCAAAGAAGGCCGAGGGCAACGGCCAAAGAGAACGCAGCCACGAACGCCAGAACTGAAGGCCAAAATAATGCTGTAGGGAACGCCAGAACGGGAGGCAAAGTGAACGTGGCAAAGAAGGCCAAGGACAAAGGCCAAGGGAATGTGGCACAGATGGCCAAAGCCGAAGGCCAAAGAAAACGCAGTGAAGGTGGCCAAGGGCAAACGGCCGAGAGAATGCCACAGGGAACGCCAAAACAGGAGGGCAAGAGAACGCAGCAGGGAAAGCCAAGGGCAAGGAGAACGCTGCAGTGAAAGGCTGGAGGTGAGGAGAACACAGAAAGAAAAGGACAGGCAGCATCCAGGGCACCATGAAGTGCAGAAATGAGCTCTGGGAACCCTACCTTGTGCCTCGCTAAGTAATGAGTAAACACCGGTGGGTGAGCATTGCCCTTACCTGCTGGGCAGACAATTACCGGCCAGCAAAGCGGGGTTCCGGGCATCCCAGGAAATGCAGATTCCAGTTCCTTGCTGCTGCCTGAAGAGCCGCGCATCTCCGTGCTGTCCTTAAAGTGCTCAGGAGCAACGCAACTCCGCTGCCACCTGTGGGACACAACGCAGTAATGAAGGCGCTGCCCCGCATGTGTGGGGCTGCACCCTGAGCACAATGCTGTAATGATGACACAACGGTTGTAATTAATTAAAATTAACGTTAGGGATAGAATTAATGGTATTGATAGGGTTGAAGTTACAGATGGTCTAACATCAGTATTCTGCACTACAATTATGGTTATTTGACAAAACATGGGGCATTATTTTTACAGCAGCATTCAGGGTAAGAGACATTTTCAACACTGGGTTAAGGGTTTGGTCTACAGATACGCTGCAGGTTAACACAGTTATCGTTAGAACTTCCATTCAGCTGTGGGTTTAGGTCAAGGGTAACATTAATGCTGCCTCCCAGCTCATCCTAGAGTGCCAAAGGCAAAGGGAAGCAGGACACCCAGGGCAGGCAAAGGAAAGCAGAACTCCCATGGAAAGCCAAGGTAAATGCAAAGCAAACAGCCAAGCTAAGGCAAGGGCAAAAGCAAAGAGAGCACCAATGGAAAGCCAAGGGGAGGACAAGGAGAACGCAACAGGAAAGGCCAAAATATACAGCCAAAGAGACCGCAGCAGGAAAGGCCGAGGGCAACGGCCAAAAGAACGCAGCACAAAATGCCAAAACAGAAGGCCAAGGGAACACGGCATGGAATGCCCAGGAAAGGGCTAAGAAAACATGGCAGGAAGTGCCAGAACAGGAAGGCAAGAGAATGCTGCCGAGAACGCCAAAATCAAATGGTGAAGAGAATGTGGCTACAAGAAAGCCAAGGGCAATGGCCAAGAGAACATAGTATGGGACACAATAACAGGGGGGCAAGGGAATGCCCAGAGAAGGGCAAGGGCCAAGAGAACGTGGAAGGAAATGCCAAGGATGATGGCCAAGAGAACACGGCAAGAAACGCCAAAACAGGAGGACAGGAGAACGCAGCAGGGAACGCCAAAACTGAATGCTGAAGTGAATATGGCAAAGAAAGCCAAGGGCAACGGCCAAGAGAACGTGGCATGGAACACAAAAACAGGAGGACAAGAGAATGCCCAGCCAATGGCAATGGCTAAGAGAACATGGAAGGAAATGCCAGAACAGGAGGGCGAGAGAACGCGGCACGGAACGCCAAAACTGAATGCTGAAGTGAATGCGGCAAAGAAAGCCAAGGGCAACGACCAAGAGAACGTGGCATGGAACACAAAAACAGGAGGGCAAGAGAATGGAGTAGGGAACAGCAAGGGCAAAGGGAATGAAAACACTGCAGTGAAAGGCCGGAGACAAGGAGAACACAGAAAGAAAAGGACAGGCAGCATCCAGGGCACCACGAAGTGCAATGAAGAGCTCTGGGAGCACCGTGCTGTGCCATGCTAGGGAATGGGTAAACACTGGTGGGTGTGCATTGCCCTTACCTGCTGGGCAGACAATTACCAGCCAACAAAGCAGGGTTCCGGGCATTCCAGGAAATGCAAATTCCGGTTCCTTGTTGTTCCCATAAGAGCCACGCATCTCCATGCAGTCGTTACGGCACTCGGGAGTGCCGCAGCCTGCTGCCACCTGTGGGACACAACGCAGTAATGAAGGCACTGCCCTGCAGATGTGCCTCTTTCACAAACCTGCACTCCTTTCTCTGATCAATGTGGCTGCACTCTGCGCACGATGCTGCTTACTGGCAGCACTGAGCTGGGAACAACAGACAAGGAGAAGGCTCAGGTACCCAACACCATCCATCTTCCATCTTCTCTGATAACTGCTCATTATACACCGCTCTCACCTTTGGTTTGGTAGGTGGGGATTGAGGAAGCAATGCCGGTCCCACAGACCCCTCCCTATCCCACACTGTGATGGGAGATCAGGTTCTGGACCACCTGAGGACCCGAGCATCCAGGAGTCTTTGGGTCCTGATGAGACGAGGCCCAGAGCTCTGAGGGAATTCAGTGCTGCAGTCACCGAGCCACTCTCAGTGGTATTTGAGAAGTTGAGGCAGTCAGGTGAAGTCCCTGGTGAGCAGAAAAAAGGTGACAGCACAGCTGTTACTGCAGATATAAAGTGTGACCCTGGGAACTGCCAACATGTCAGTCTCACCTCTGTGCTGCAAAAAGTCATGGAGCAGATCCTCCTGGAAGGGACTCTGAGGCACATTCCAGTGCGTCAACACCCTCTGTATGAAAAGCTTCCTCCTAATAACCAACCTAAACCTCCCCTGTCTCAGTTTAAAACCATTCCCCCTTGTCCTATCACGATCCACCCTCGTAAACAGCCATTCCCCTTCCTGCTGTTCCCACCTTCAAGTACTGTGAGGCTGCAATGAGGTCCCCCCCAAGCCTTCTCTTCTCCAGGCTGAACAAGCCCACTTCCCTCAACCTTTCCTTGTAGGAGAGCTGCTCCAACCATCTGATCATCTCAGTGCCTCCTCTGGACCCGCTCCGTGAGCTCCACGTCCTTCCTGTGCTGGGGGCCCCAGGCCCGGATGCAGCGCTGCAGATGAAGCCTCACAAGAGCCGAGTAGATAGGGACGATCACCTCCCTCTCCCTGCTGGCCGCTCCTCTTTTAATGCAGCCCAGAACACAGCTGGCCTTCCAGGCTGCAAGCCCGCTCTGCTGGCTGATGTCCAGCTTCTCACCCACCAGGATCTGCAAATCCTTCTCTGTGGGGCTGCTCTCAAGGTGTTCTTTGCTGAGTTTGTGCAAACATCTGGGATTGCCCCTTCATCAGTGACACTGACAGTGGGGTGGAGTGCACCCTAATGACACCGAGCTGTGGGGTGTGGTGACACACCAGAAGGACGGGATGCCATCCAGAGGGACCTCAACAGGCTGAGTAGTGGCACTCAGCAATGTGCCTTCCAGCCCAGAAAGCCAACCGTATGCTGGGCTCCATCCAAAGATGTGTGGTCAGCAGGCAAAGGGAGGCGGTCCTGCCCCTCTGCTCTGCGCTGGGAGGCCTCACCTGGAGGTGCTGTGTGTGGATATGGATGCCCGCAGTGCAGGACAGACATGGAGCTGTTGGAGCACATCCAGAGAATGGCCACAGATATGAACCGAGGGATGGAATGCCTTTCCTATAAAGACAGAGAGCTGGAGCTGTTCAGCCTGCAGAAGTGAAGGCTCCGAGGTGATCTGGTAACAGCCTTTCAACACCTGAAGGGAAGAACAAGGAAAGATTTAGCCTAGATATAAAGAAAATCTTGTACAGTGATGGTGGTGACACAGCAGAACAGATTACCCAGACATGATGGATGCCCTGTCCCTTCCAAGGTGAGGCTGGGTCAGCCTCTGGGCAGCCTGATCTGGCTGTGGATGTTCCTGTTCGTTGTGTGGCAGTTGGACGAGATCACCACCAATGGTACCAAGTACTCCAGCTGGGATAATCCATACCCGTCAGAGCCTCTCTGGGCCAGTCCCAGTATTCAGCAGAGCAGGGGCTTCACTTCATCACGCTGTTGGGAACCAGAGCTGCAGAGCATTGAATGCAGGTCAAGGGGTGGGAGGAAGAGAAATTGGGGTTTGGGTGTCGTACAGATTAGGAAACTAACAGCATCTCCAGACAATTAGGATGGAGATATCTGGGGTGATGCAGATTACAGGGGTCCAGAAGAGGACAAACCTTGGCTTCCTATAAAGATGAAGACTTATTACACCTAAGGGTGCACAGAATGCCCTTAAACAACTCTGCACGGTTGGAAGCAGTGCATAACAGCCCTGAAATAAAGGAAGAAGTTACTCCATTCCAAAGATGAACACTCAGCCCACACTGCCAGGGAAGCAGTCTCCAGGTAGAGATGCTGCCCTTATGGCTTTCACCCCTTAAATGTGGTCAGGATACTAAATTATAATAATAAAAAAAGAAAAGAAAAAAAAAAAAAAAAATGGAGATTGCAGCCTGAAGTAAAGAAAAAACAAAGAAGCCACTTACACCATTCTCAAAGGCCAAAACTCACCCATGCTCCACAGGAGACAGCCTCCAGAGATCAATGCTGCCCTTACATCTGCCAGCACTCAAATGTGGTCAGGATGCCCCAAAAACAGGAAAAAAATCACAGCCCTAAAACAAGAAGGAATCACTCATCCTTTCTCAAGGACCAGCCCTCACCCCACGCTCCCAAGGAGACAGTCTCTAAAGATGGACACCACCTTAAAGGCTGCCAGCCCTTAAGCGGGGTCAAGATCCCCCCAAAAACAAGATATTGCAACCCTGGAATAAAGACTCACTCACCCCGTTTCAAGGGTTCACCCCACGCTCTAAAGGAAGCAGCCTCCAGGTGCAGTTGCTGCTCCTTCTGCTGACAGACCTTAAATGTGGTCAGCAGCTCCCAGAAAGTGAAATTACAATCCAGCAATACAGAAAAAACCAATGACCCCATTCCAAAAACAAACACTCAGCCCACACCCCGAAGGAAGCAGCCTCCATGCAGAGATGCTGCCCTTACAGCTTCCAGCCCTTAAAAGCAGTCAGGATCCCCAAAACCAGAAAGATCAGAGCCCTGCAATAAAGCACCAATCACTCACCCCATTCTAATGAGCAGAACTCGCTCCCAATGCTCCCATGGAAGCAGTTCCCAAGCAGAATGCTGCCCTGGCTGTTCTCAGCCCTTAAACGTAGTCAGGAGCCCACAGAAAGTGAAATTACAATCCAGCAATAAAGAAGAAATCAATGACCCCATTCCAAAAACAAACACTCAGCCCACACCCCAGAGGAAGCAGCCTCCATGCAGAGATGCTGCCCTCACAGCTTCCAGCCCTTAAAAGTTGCCAGGATCCCTAAAAAACAAAAGACCAGAGCCCTACAACAAAGCATCAGTCACTCACCCCATTCCAACGAGCAGAACTGGCTCCCAATGCTCCCCACAAGGCAGATCCCAAGCTGAATGCTGCCCTGGCTGTTCCCAGCCCTTAAATATGGGCAGGGAGGGGGTGGAGCCAAGCTCAGCCCTATCCGGTCCCACAGGTAAATTGTTTCCACCTGTGCTGGCAGGGCTGGCCACACCCCTCACCAGGTGCTCCATCACTGCTTCAGGCTGTAAACAACAAAAAAAAGACTGATAACGAGCAGGTGATTGGATCTGCCTGTCCGGCAAGGGGAGTTTGATCAAAGGATGAGCAACAATGCCACGCGTATTTTGATTGAAGTCTGTCCTCAAAGGCATTCGGTAAAATTTCTAATAGATAGGGGAGCACAAATTTCAGTACTGATACAGCAAGATGCTGAAAAGCTGTGTGTGCAGCCTGGACGGCAAAGAGTTGAGATTACCAGTGTAATCGTGGCGAGCACTGTTTGCCAAACTAGTGGGGACAGCTTATGGCTCTCCAGTGAGAAACGTGTCACCTACTTTCTTTGCAATTAAAGACCATTGTGAAAATATTTCAGGATTCGGTGTCCTCAGTGGGTGAGTCTGGCACTTGCACTTGTATGGCAATGTGTGGCTCAAGTATCAATCCCAAATCCCAAAGAAATAGGGAGCCTGCAGTGTGCGTATTTCATGTAGCCCCTGCACTCCTGGAATCAGGAATAACTCACCTATCTGCCCAGTTTGGAAACCAGGTGGAAAGTGGTTATTAACAATTGATTATTAGTGCCTGAATGGTCATAAAACTCCTCTAGGAGCTGCTGTCCCAAACACTGCTGACTTAACAGCTACTTGGCAAGCAGCCATGTGTCGGCTTATTCCCGTGGTACCCAGTGCCCTCTGTGTGTCCCAGAACTCTTTCATGGTCACATGATGGGCTCTAGAGACAACCAGATGTGTTCCAGAGCTATGGAGTGTGCCGTGGGCAGCCCCAGAGACATAATCGAGCCCTCTCCCAGCTTCTCAGCACACTCTTGGATATGATGGTGATGCGACACAGGGAAGTGTCAGGCAGCGCCAGGAAGTGCCGGTGCCATCGCAGGTGCTGTTCGAGCAGCGCTGTGGGGCAGATGAGCAGTGCCACCTTGAGCTGGTAGTGACGGTGACACCCGGTGTCATGCTGCTGCTAGGCGGCCACAGGACCAATGTAACCGCTGTGCTGATGCTGCACAACCACGGTGAGGTCACATCACACATGGGGCCACCATCACCATCCGACACCCCCTGAGAATGGTGTTCCACAGAGCCAGGGTCTCCATGGTGGGGGCACCTGTCCCCATGTCCACACGATGTCCCCAGTGTCCCTGTGCCTCCACATCCCCCAATGTCCCTTGGGTCCCCACAATGCCTCCCAATGTCCCCACAATGTTTATTTCCATGCTCCCATGTCCCAGTGTTCCCACACCCCCAACTTCCCGACAGTGTCCTCACATCTCCCATTGTCCTCCCACTGGTGAGGTGACGTTGAGGGTATAGTGGTAATGCTAAATCATGGCTTGAAGCAGTGATGGAGCACCTGGTGAAAAGGCAGGGCCAATCCAGGGGAGCAAAGATGCATGCAATGTTGCTGAGTGATGAAGGGGTGGAGCCAAATCCACCCCTTCCCAACCCTCATTTAAGGGCTGGCAGTGGAAGCATAGGGTTTTTTGTTGTGGGTTCCTGCCAATCTGGGGTCTTTCAAGGTGGAGTGGTTTTGTTTCTGTGCCCGTTCATGCTGTGCTGGAGCTGACCTTCATTTGCTGTAACCTGGGGATTGGCTGCTCTGCTGTTGCTGCTGTGCTTTCCAGCTCATTGTGGAGGTGAGGCTGTGGGGGTGACACTGTGGCAATAGCGGAGTATCACTGGGGGGGACATAATGTGGGGGGCTGATATTGGGGTGATGGGGGGTGGGGATGCTGGGATCATGTTGGAGAGGGATGCTAGCGTATGATACAGTTAGGGTGACACTGGGGGGAATATCAGGAAGTGACAGTGGAGTGAGGTGGCTGGGGGGCAAGGTTGGTTGCTGAGGGTGAGGTTGGTTGTTAGAGGTGAGGCTGTCAGGGGTTCTCTTCCACTTGGGCTCTGTACCATGCGCTGGCCACACCGCTACAGTGTGCAATGGAACAAATCCTGTAGACCCTAGGAAGAATTAAAGCAGGAGAGAGGCTCAGTGGGGGTGAAAGGCCAAATGCCCTTTGAAGCAGGGGACGCCCTGCTGGCACTGCGTATCACATCCACTGCCAGCCTGTTCCTTCTCAATCCTGTTGGCAATTTGCTGTCTCTCAAGGGTCAGAAAGTAGTAGTGCGCTTGTTTGGGGAGATTCTGCTTCAGGCCACTCAAAATGAATACAAGGAAGTTGTTAGGATATGTAGAGGTGAAATCAGAAAGGCAAAAGCCCAGCTTGAATTTAACCTAGCCGCTGGGGTGAAAAGGAATAAGAAACTCTTTTATAAATACATTAACAGTAAGAGGAGGACAAAGGAGAATATCCACTCTTTGCTGGATGAGGCTGGGAATGTGACCACTGAGGATAAGGAAAAGGCGGAGGTTCTGAATGCCTTCTTTACGTCTGTCTTTAAAAGTCAGACCAGTTATCCTCAGGATACTCCTCTCTCTGACCTGGTAATCTCGGCTGGGGAGCACACTAACCCCCCCGTGATTCTGGAGGAAACAGTCAGAGACCTACTGCTCCAACTGGACTGCCACAAGTCGATGGGGCCAGATGAGATCCACCCAAGAGTGCTGAGGGAACTGGCGGAGGTGATAGCCGAGCCGCTTTCCATCATCTGTCAACGCTCCTTGTTGACTGGTGAGGTCCCAGAAGACTGGAGGCTTGCCGATGTGATTCCCATTTATAAGAAAGGTCGTAAGGAGGATCCGGGGAACTACAGGCCTGTTAGCCTGACCTCGGTGCCAGGGAAGGTTATGGAGCAGATTGTCTTGAGGGAGATCATGCGGCATGTGCAGGGTGACCGGGGGATCAGGCCTAGCCAGCATGGGTTCATGAAGGGCAGGTCCTGTTTGACCAACCTGATCTCCTTCTATGATCTAGTGACCCATCTGGTGGATGAGGGAAAGGCTGTTGATGTGGTCTACCTAGACTTCAGCAAAGCCTTTGACACTGTCTCCCACAGCATTCTCCTGCAGAAGCTGGCAGCCAGAGGCTTGGATGGATACACTCTTGGCTGGGTAAGGAGCTGGTTGGAGGGCCGGGCACAGAGAGTGGTGGTAAATGGAGTCAAATCTAGCTGGCGACCGGTTGTGAGTGGTGTTCCCCAGGGGTCGGTGCTGGGGCCTGTCCTCTTCAATATCTTTATTGATGACCTCGATGAGGGCATCGAGTGCACCCTCAGTAAATTCGCAGATGACACCAAATTGGCTGGAAGTGTGGATCTGCCTGGGGGTAGCGAGGCCCTACAGAAGGATCTGGACAGGCTGGAGAGCTGGGCTGAAGCCAATAGGATGAGTTTCAACAAGGCCAAATGCCGGGTCCTGCACTTCGGCCACAACAACCCCAGGTGACGCTACAGGCTTGGGGCAGTGTGGCTGGAGGACTGCGTAGAGAAAATGGACCTGGGGGTATTGATTGATGCTCGGCTGAACATGAGCCGACAGTGTGCCCAGGTGGCTAAGAAGGCCAATGGCATCCTGGCTTGCATCAGAAACAGTGTTGCAAGCAGGAGCAGAGAGGTGATTGTTCCCCTGTATTCAGCACTGGTGAGGCCGCACCTCGAGTGCTGTGTCCAGTTTTGGGCCCCTCACTGCAAGAAAGATATTGAGGCCCTGGAACGTGTTCAAAGGAGGGCAACAAAGCTGGTGAGGGGTCTGGAACACAGGCCATATGAGGAGAGGCTGAAGGAGCTGGGAATGTTCAGCCTGGAGAAGAGGAGGCTCAGGGGAGACCTCATTGCTCTCTATAACTTCCTGAAGGGAGGCTGTAGTGAGCTGGGGGTCGGCCTCTTCTCTCGTGTCATTAGTGATAGGACCAGGGGGAATGGCTTCAAGCTACGGCAGGGGAGATTCAGGCTGGACATGAGGAAGTATTACTTTTCAGAAAGGGTGGTCAGGCACTGGAACGGACTGCCCAGGGAGGTGGTGGAGTCACCGACCCTGGGGGTGTTCAAGGAAAGACTGGATGTTGTGTTGAGGGACATGGTTTAGTAGGAGCTATTGGGAATAGGTGAACGGTTGGACTGGATGATCTTTTAGGTCTTTTCCAACCTTGGTGATTCTATGATTCTATGATTCTAATTTACAGGGATTATGGTGACACTGGGGTGATACTGAGAAGTGACACCAAGGGGTGACACTATTGGGGTGAAAGTGTTTGCTGATGTGGGGGTGATGCTGTTGGGAGGTGGTGCCGGAGGTTGACATTGGGAAGGGATGTTGGAGGGTGATGGAGAATCACTGGTGACATCGGGGAGTGATGCTGAGGGGTGACAACGTTAGGAATTATGTTGGGGTATCAGTGGGGTTTAACATCAAGGAGTGATGCTTGAGGGGAGACACTGGAGTGATAGTGGTACAGAGGGAACGTTGTCAGGATGATGTTGGGGTGATAGTAATGACATTAGGCAGTGACAATTGTTGGAGGGTGATGATGTTGGGGCATTGGGGGAGCGTCACTTGTGGGTGACATTGTAGGGGGGGTGGCATGGAATGACAATGGGGTGCCATGAAGCATGACTGTGGGGAATTATGTTGGGTGTCCCTTCAGGGTGACACTGGGATGACACTGGTGTCACGTTGCGGTGTGACATCAAGAAGTGACGCTGGGGGATGACATTCTTGGGGAGTGGCATTGTTGAGGGGTGATGTCAGGGTATCACTACTGTTGATATCAAGGAGTGATGCTGGGGTGATGCTGGCTGGTGACATTTTTGGGATGAATCTGAGGTGATGTTGGGGTATCAGTGGAGTTCAAAAGCAAGGAGCGATGCTGTTGGGGTAACACTGGGGTGGGCACACTGGAGTGATGTTGAAAGGACACTGAGTTGACGCTGGGGGGCAGATGCTGCAGAGGTCACATCAGATTGTGATGCTGGGGATTGATACCCTGGTTATGTTGGGGTGTAATATTGGGGTATCATTGGGGTTGACAGCAAGGAGTCTTGCTGGGGTGACGTTGTTGTGGTGACGGTGATGATGTTGGGCTGATGCTAGGGGTGACACTAGGGTGATGGTGGGATGTCACTGAGATTTAACATCAAGGAGTGATGCTGGAATGGGGAATGATATTGTTGGAGTGATGCTGAGGGTTGATACTGCGGTGAGATAGGGGTGGGACACCACTAGTGACTGGCTGCCAACTGGGTTTAACTTCACTGACCACAACTGTTACTTGATTTACCCCCTCATCCCACACCTTCTCCCCAAAATACCCCCTCACAGCCCCCATTCCCCCCCTCCTTTCCCCCAAATTCTGTTCCAGGTGCAGATGGCGCTGCCCCCCATCACACAGCACCATCCATCCCAACCACATTGCCTTCATTCTCCTGCCCTGCACACTTGCCCCCTGGCTTGGTTGTCAAATATCTGTGGGGTGAGTCCCACAGCACTGCCCCACAGCTTCTCAGGGCACCCACTCCCACACTGTAAAGCTGGGCTGGGGAGGGGCTGTTGGCCATCGGGGTTGAAGTGGGGCTGAAAGTCACTATGGGATGTGGGAGTCGATGTAGGGCATGGGGTGCTATGACGGGGTGGGAGTCAATGGAGGCCATGGGGTGCTATGGGGCCGGGAGTAGCTATGGGGCTGCAGGTCACGCTCACCTGCCTGCAGAACACTGCCATCACCATGAGGATGTGGAAGCTGCTTGTGCAGCACAACGTTGCTGCATCCTCCACCTCCTGCGAGAATGTGTGGGCCAGCTGAGAACCTAGTTGCCCCAGTCACCACAGTTGGCCCCACATCTCAGCCCCACTCCGTGCACTTGGCCCCACACCCCCCATCTCAGCCCTAAACCTGTCTCCAAATATCAAATCCAGAGCCCAGAGGGATCCCCCGCCCTATAACCTAACACCTGCGCCCCATGCCCCGAACGCCCCAGACCATTCCCGGCACGACACTACGCATGCGCCAGTTCCGGCACAGCAGTACGCATGCGCCTTTCGTGGCAGAAGTGTACGCATGCGCTGTTCTCTTCACAGCGCTACGCAGGCGGTGTTTCCGGCACACCACCATGCGTTCTGTGCCGCGCATTGGCCACGCCGTGGCAGCAGAGACCGCTGATAGAACTGCGATGGTGGCGACGCGGGCCCGCAACGTAGTCGCCGGCCTTTCCTTCTCTCTTTTGGTGACAGGGGAAGCACGCGAAGTTAGAAAGGGGGGGGAGGGGAAAGACCTCGGTCGAGGGAGTCCCCTTTACCAGGTCAGTAACTGCAGAAGAATTTTGTCTTGCTCTAAACAAAGGCAGGCAGCTGCTGAAGCGCACATTCCTCTCTGGTGTTAGAAACCAGTTTCCTCCTGCTGACTTCACCATTAGTGGCTCTTCTGCACCAGGTTGGATGGAGCCCTGGGCAACCTGGTCTAGTACTACATCTGGAGGCTGTGGCAGAGGGTTGGAACCTGATGATCTTTGGGATCTCTTCCAACCAAACCATTCTATGATTCTATAATTCTGTGATCTGTGGATAAACTGAAGATTCCCTTCTGTGAAGGTTTTGCACTGTCTGCAAATGTGGTCTTGTAGCACTTTTCACTTAAGTCAGTCCTATTGCTCTGATCTGTGCTACAAGCAGGGCACGCTCAGCCTGCTTCTGCTGTCTGAAGAAATGCCTTCTGAACCGGACCTCACCCGTGACTGAGGCAGGATGGAACCTCACAGCACAAACATGCGCTGTACTACAAACGAACGTTAGAATGCCCTTTCTGTGGAAATGGCTTTCTGTAGTTTTTGGAAAACATTTATTTTTATTACACGAGCACAGGTAATAATGCTGCACCCAGACCCAACACACTCCCTTAAATATTTGCTGTCTAAGTCAGTGTCAAACCCCCACTGTGAGGGAAACATCCCAAGGGAATCTATCTTCACTGCTCACGTAGTTGCACCAACATAAACACTGTCAGAACACACAGCAAACATGGGTTAATTAAAGAAAACCACATAAATGGCGCTGTATCATTTTTATTTTAAGCCTCTTTACACAAGGAATGATGTTGGAATGCAAGGTGCGATACACTTTACACAACATACATTGACAACATCACTCATTCCATTTGCCTTTATAAAATGGTTTTGGAAAGTTTTCACTGAATTCCTACTTACACGAACTGTTACAGTGGGGTAGAAATCAAACAACTGACAAAATATAAATACCAGAGAATCCAAGATGGACTTCTGGCATTTTAAAACACACAGGTCTCGAGGACAATACAACTCTTATTTTTTCGTACTGCAGAACAGCAAGACAGAAGTCAGACAAAGTGATCTGACCATCTGAAGAAATACATAAATATCAGCACATTTGCAGGTGAGATGAACAAAATCCTTTTTCCTGCCGTTCTCATGGACACTCCTGCCTCTGGAACAAGGACCTGCCTGCAGGATCCCACTTCACAACTGCAAGCCAATGGCAGGAAGGGATCGCAACTAGCACAATATGGACCTGAACACTACTGTGCCTGTGCAGATTCACGATCACTGCTACTTCAGTTGTCAACCAAGTGAAAACACTTTGGAAAGAAGTTCAATGAGCACTTCAAATAGAATTAAAATACACTAAAATGATTTGAAAAAGTCCAATTTCTGAATGATTTCTATATATGCATATAAGCAGCTTGGCTTTTTCAATGTTTTCCTGTTTTGTTTTGCTTGTTTGTTTGTTTTTTACTAATAGAAAAAAGAAGAATCCGTGTAGACTAAAAAAGGTTAGTTATAAAGTAGCATAAAAGTATACACACACATCACACGATGAGGCATATTTTCCACCTATTGAAATGCTTAACACGAGTTTACGGAATTTAAAGATCTGTATTTTAAAAAATGCATCCTTGTCTCTAAAGCAGCAGGTGCTCTATCAGACAAAGAGGATGCTGCACAGGAAAAAGTCTCAATGAAAAACAGCAAAGAAGGGCTTAAACTGCATAACAGCTGGCCAAGCCAGGCAACTGACTGTCTTCAAAAAAACAAAAACAACAGATCAGGTTTAGGTCCACAGGTCAGAAATCTACCCTAGGTGTTTTACCTCCTCATATCATTCTGTCATACATTCAGTTTGATTTATTTATAAATTGAGGCCATCTCCAGGACTGGAGAGGGACAAACATTACCACATTTCCAGAGAGGATAAGAGATTGCATTCAGTAGCCGAATCCCTATTTCACTCTGCATATTGTAACTCACTCTTAAGCAGATGTCAGTGCAAACTGTTGCAGCCATCAGTGTACCATCAAACAGTAGCAGCAGTAGTGCTGGAGACAGATTCAGGGTCCGTCTTGTAGTGGTCTGTGGCCCTTCCTCCTGTACTCTTTTGTGTAGTGAGAACTACTGGAATTTAGTTCCATATATGTATTTGTGCCTCATGTCAAATTAAAAACATATCTGAGAAAAGCAAGTACTGACCTTCAGCCCAGAAGACTGATAACTGGGAAGGAATTTTAGCATGAAGACCTATGCCTCACTTCCACTTAAATAACTGGAAGCTGCCACACGAGCATGGATCAGTTTATAACTGCTATACAAATAACTTCTTCAAATCCAGTAGTGACAGAAAAATATTATTTCAGCACTTGGCACGCCACACTTTACAGTATAAAGAGTAATATTTCAATAAAACTAAACTTCCTATTTTTCACTATTGCACGTCGGGTGGATTTGCTACACTTGGGAGACTAGTCCTTAGAATTAAAGTGCTTTGTGGAGCATTGGCATCCAAAATCTCGAACATGAGAGACAACTACAAGTAAAATCTGTTGTTGCTATATATAACATATAGCAGGACAACAGGCATCAACGTGTGTACTCATTATGTGTCTGGTTTTCGATGGCATCCTGAGTAACACAGAGTTTAACAGTGCATAGTACCCCCTACCTCCAATGTACAATCAAATGCTTTAGATTCATCCAGTATTGGTGGCGGCTCTGGACGTCTTGTCTGCATGATCTTCTGTTTAGGATTTTTCAATTCTTCTTCCTCTTCTGTCTCACTTTCACAGACATGGACGACGACACTAGGAGTGGATTCTGTCCCTGCATGAAGCTCATACTTCTCCCCTGAGGAGCAGCAAACAAAGACCATGCTAAGAACATCCCCAAGGAACAGCATTAAGCCACTTCATCACAAAAACTCCTTAACGGCTGCAGTAACTCAATCAAAAGACAAGCAGCATACAAATTTTTAAGTGACATATTTGTGCTATGCATTTATAGGACATTTCTAAATGGAAAACCATAAATGCATTTGATAATATTTAATCCTCCTAATTCCCCATGAAGTTATGTTGCTACTGTACCCAGTAGTGGCTTTCTGAGAGGACAAGAAAGTAGCTCTCTTCTCTACACCGCTACTTGTCAGAACATTTCTGTCCTGTTAGGACGGCAAACACCTCCCTCCTCACGAGCGCTGAAGCCAATTCAACAGATTACACATTAGGTTCTTTGTGTGAAAGATAACCTTCCTTTCAGGGAAAATAAATAGCACTGTTCTGAGTAAGACCCATGAAAAATTTTGATGATGCAACATAAAATCCATATTAGCATCCTTAACAACTGAAGCCGCCAATCTGCAAGAGATTGAACATCTCATTCCTCTTCTTGTTTGCTGGTCAATACTAAGATTATAGCAAAATTCAATAAATGGGTGACAAAGAGCCAGCGCCACACAGTCCAGTTTCTGTGTTATAATTTCAGTCAGCTACAGAACGAAGTTAACAGTGACAGCTTACTTTATTCAAGTAAGTAACCTAATATAAGAGAAACTTGGTTCTTTTTCCAGAAAAGTAGATAAATGCCCTGGATAAGTACTTTTGAAGTTAAATAACACAACAAAAGCAGGTAAATATCCCACCCGGTCCCAACTTGGAGACAGCACAAAGGAGGTCATAGTTTATCAGTGGAGTTGCATCTTCAGTCTGTTTCCATCCAACTGGGGGAGATGCAGGTGGTGATATCAGGAACTGTTTAACAGGTTGTGGAGGAAGAAGGTAGGACTTGTCTCCTACTTCACTGGACACCTGTACCTAAAGACAAAGGCCAGGAGATGCAGAATAAAATCACAAACGTTCATGTTTATTTAGTCTGTTTCCCCACTACTATATGGCTGTTCTCTAAGAATGCTTAATTCAGCCTAGATACAAAAATAATAGCACAACTACATAATACTTCAGATAAGCAATGCAGGTTAAGAAACTGGTCTGTGTTGACAGTGTAGCTGTCGATGAATAGAGAATACATGCTCGTGTATAAGAACAAGACGTTAATGGTTGCTTCAGAACTTCCCAGAAATGAAACTTACTGTCAAATATGAAACAAGGGAGAAACAAGCACACATGCAGACCAAGTTAGCATTCCATAATACCTGTGCAAAATATAGCTTCAGCTTTTTTCCATTGAAGTCAGTTTCATGCAGTTCAATCCGTGCTCTTGCTGCTGCCTCTGGATTACTGAAGTTTATCCTTACTCTTCTAAAGCTTTTAAACAACTGGAATGTAACTTGATTATCGTAGACAGTGAAAAGTGCTTCAAATCTTTCCTAGAGATGAAGTACAGAGATTCTCCAAACACAACATGAACGTTTTCACTCAAGGAAAACACACTCTGCATTCACTTTCCTCTCCCAAATCCCCAAGCATTTCCTTAACACTCTTCTAAGCCTGCATGTTTCATAGTTCTCCCTGACTGCTTCATCTCACTACTAAAATTCCAGGAGTACTGATACGTAAAAGCCCCTGTAGCTCCCAAGTACTGCCATCTAGCGACAGTTACCCAAAAGCGCAGTCGACAAAAATAGCTGCACACTGGAACCTGACTTTCACCTGAGCATCACAGATGCATTTTTAGGCGTGATAATATAAAGCGTTGAAAGATTAAGGAAGCTAAAACAAAGAACACAGGATTAATGAGATTTCTCTAGGAGAGAAAGACTTATTACCAAATGCTGTTTTTTACAAAAAGCAAAAATAAAAAAAATATTATTTAATTAGAAATCGTATTAATCATTGAGGAGATTGAACATAACTGTATTGTTAAAGGTTCAACTTGTTTTAATTTACTAGTTCATTTTTATTAAACACCTAATTTGCAGATTTTTTTCCCACCAGTTTAACTACAGGTATTCTCACTCACTGAAAAAAAATCAAATTCAGATCAGCAGAAGAATGCAAACGATATATTTTCAATTTTATTTACTCTGCATTGATAACATTCAGTTACTCACAGAGATCTACATAAGCAAATGAGCAGAGAAGAACAACTTTTAAGAACTCTTTCCAAAGGCAAAACTTATTTGTTTCGTTTCAAAAGACTCCAGTCTCTTTACATAAATCCTTTGACTCCTGTAATAATACTTATAGGACGAGGTTGCCACTGACTTCCGTTTCAATTAGGACAAAAGAAACTCTACAGATGATACCCACGTTAGTTTTAGAATTATTAGTTTAGCAATTCTTTCTGCAAGCTGCACCATCTCAAGGTCTTCATTAAATCAGAAAATCCATTCCTTCTGCACTCTCACCAAATTTGGTAACGAACAAATGCAGAACTACAATCTAGCGTAATCACCATTTCCCAAATAACATTTGAAATTAACCAGAAGTGGTTACATCCACCAATGGCTTCATAGCGCATCCAATTACTCTGGTATCATTAGAGAAGAACACATTGCCCTCAACACACCTGATATGCTCAGACAGACTGTGAGAATACCTTCACAGAAAAAGGAAACGTGCCTAAAAGTGACAAATCCCAGGCAGACACGCAATGTAATTTAGACAGGCAGCATTTCCAGCGCACACTTTCTAGATCAAATAATGAATTATGGGGCACTGCTGTCTCTGTAGCAGAGCTGAATCAGTCTGGTGCAAGACTTAACGTTTCGTTGATCAGCTGCTGCTTTCCCTGCCCTCTTCTATAAGTGGTAACAACCACTGACCCAACTGGAGGGTACGCCACTCTCAAGAGGCTTCAGAGAATGCAGAAACAGGAACAATTTAGTCATCTGAGATTTACAGGTGTATGCAGGAAGGGAAATGCCACCTTGCCCTCTTCATTTTTTTCCTCAAATACTCATGAGCTACCAACAGTCATTCCTGGTGCTCTCAGATGCAAAGAGCACGAACAAATCTGACTGAATACAAAGATTAGCAACCCAGAGAAGATTTAGTTTATTATCAAGTCCTAAGCGACTATCAAGAAGTTATTTTAGTTCAAAGCAGAACATGCATTCTAAGAATTTACTATAATCTTTAGGAGAATCCTTGCCTTGAAGTAAAACACAGACGTTTGCCTTCAGATTATACATAAATCTTCCTTTAAATTTGGTACTTTGCACGAAAAGAAAAATCAGAAGAGCCTTTTTGTAGGAGGAGCCCCATCACCACTATTAGAAATTCCAAATGCCTGAACATTGCATTACTATCTTCTCTTGGGAAATCTACTCATTCTTGATCTGAACTCACTGGTAAATAATTTGGGTAGATCATTTCCTCCCCCTCAGCACAACACACAGCAGTACCAGACAAAACATCCCCTGCTGCCTCTATACTTGCAGTGCCGAAGCCAGATTTCACATTACATCTCATTTCACTTTACCTTTTCCTCCTGTACCTCAAACACCGCTTCATGCACACTGCAAGCAAACAGTGAGGTAGGCAAGTCGCTTAAATCCATCATCTCTTCCAAATCATCTTCATTTTCTCCAAAAATCATCTGTTCTTCTTCTTCTTGGTCACTGCTGTACAGATCGGACTGGCTGTCGCTCCAGGACTTCATAGTATCTCTGAGCATCATTCAACCAATGCAGCACTGTGTTCTAGAGCTCCTGGTAAGGGTCTGCCATTACAAAAATGCATTCAATTACGGCAACAAAATACTACACTGTGAGTTGTTTTCTGTCCTATGTGATGATGGCAAGTCTCAAACGAGATGTCTGAACAACACTGGAATTGCCTGAGCATCCCCACTGCTGCAAGGGAGATCACCTTTTCTTTCAATAAGTAACAAATTTTGAATTTTACTGGAGAAGTCATCGTGTTTCTTTAGATAACAAGGATAGACTCTCACTCACTTTTGACTCCATGGAGGGAAAGCAGTTTGCCCTTCATCTCCCGCACACAGCTTGTAGGGAAAACTCTGTACAAGTTAATTAAACATCTCAGCAACAAGTGAACAGTTCTGCATGTTTTGCGACACAGCATCTATTGCAAGCGGGAAAACAAACTGAGAAGTTTCCATAGAAGGCTCCAAACTCTGAAAAGCATTGCTTCCATTTTACAAACACATTCCACACAGGAACGCACTGCCACTCAACTATAGTTCAACCATAGTTTGTATATAGCTTAACTATAAACCCGCAAGGTTAACGCCAGTTCTGTCCAACGCCATCCCAGGGGTTACACAACGGTAACTAACCACCCTAAGAACGTGGAAGAGGTTCCCTGGGATGGGATGTGTAACACCAATGCACCATCGTTAGTTAAGTACTAACAGAAACAGTACCGTGAGAGGCGTTAACGGACGAGGCAAAGCAACAGGGCCAGAAGGGCCACCCCGAGCAGGACGGCAGCTGAACGCTCCGTCCAGCCACCCCCGCACCGGAAGCGCAGCGCTGCGCTCACTCTTCCGGGCAGCTCTGAGGGCAGCCCCTGTTCCGACACCGCCCCACACAGCCCCACCGCCCCCAGATTCACCTGAGAGCCGCGGAGCTGGGCCACCCCGCACAGCCCAGGGCGCACCGCCCTTCAGCTTCCAGAACGCGAGAAGCGATGGCGACGGGGGGCGGCAGCGCCGCGGGTTCCAGGCTCTCTCACACACACACCCGTGTGAAGACGGGGCGCGCAGCGCTAAGGAACCGCTCCACTCAGCCTGGCTGTGCCCTCCCGCGACACCGCGCTCACCTCAGGATAGACATTCGACGCCCGAGGGGCGGCGGAACAAGAGATGGCGGCGGGAGAGCAGCGACGGCTCAGCGAGGGTCCCCTCAGCAGCGAGACGAGCCGCCAAGAGGGGGGCGGCAGCCGGCGCCGTGCGGAACGATCCCTGCGGGCGGAGAACGGCGCAAGCGCGCCTGCGTGCGCTGTCACTCATCCCGCATCGCCTCGGGGAGCTGGGGAGGAGAGGGTGGTGACCGGGATGGAGGGGGCGACGCTGCGCGTGCGCCATGCCCGCCTTCTCGAGACCGAATGAGGGGCAGCGCCTCTGGGCAGGCCGTTGCGATGGGGGTCGGTGGCTGTAAGGGCTGCGTTGGGCGGATCCCGAGGCTCCAAAGCGGATCGTTATGTGGAGAAGTGGCCGCCAGGCTGCAGAACGAACGTCACTGACTGGGAAGAGCCCGCACACAGTCCGGGCTTTGGCATAAAGACAGACGTTTCTGCGGTTTAAATGCACTCTTTTGAAGTTCGGACATGGAAAAGGGTAGATAATAATCTTCAGCTGATCCTTTCCCTCACAGGAAAGCAGAGAATTGGTCAAACCTAAGAAGGGCTTCTGCAGATTCAGTGCAGATTTCGACAACAACGGGGAAATCCTAATCCTCTCCCTTTCCTGGCTGCAGTCAAAGCCATTATTCACAGTCTCCTCTCCACCCATAGCTGTGCCCATCTCAGGAACACAGAAGTAGACACACCTTCGTACACCTCAACCGCTGCTGTCCAGATCCCAACATCGGTTTGTCACCTTTATGCCACCACTTGACATCGTCTGCTGCCACCCAGTAACTCTTGGATGAGGCAGTAACATGGCAGCACCTGTTCATCACAAGCTATAGCATAGGGATGCTGCTTTGGCAACTATACAGGAAAGAATGAGCCCCTGCCTTAAGGCCTAGCCAGGAGTACCACATAGGACAGCTGTAAGGCCACAGTGGACATGACTGCTCCCAGGTTGTTTTTCCCCACTTGTGGTTTGGGACCCCAAGAGATACATTTAATTAAGAGCACCCCGAGGGTTATAACTCCACCCCTTGTCCCCCTGGACAAAACCCCGTGCAGCAAGTGTTAATTAGGTTGGCAAGCATTCATTAGTGCCGCTGGTTAGATCGTGCCAGTATTTTGAATTTATGGCTGTTCATGTCTCTTAATTGGCATTGCTAGGAAATGGCCGTAAGCTGCCCTGAGGCACAACAGCCTGTACCTGAAGTGCATCGTCCCCAACGTGTATCAGAGGCCTGTGCTGTCCCACAGACGATACTTTCTTCACCTCAGTGCTGAACTGGCAGGTGTGCAGAAACCGCAGATCAGGTCCTCAGTCATAGAGCACATCCTGGCTTCCCATCCTCAACCTTGCCTTTCTCCAGGCTCCACTTGGATCATGTTTTCCAGCTCTTCTCTGAAATAACGAATGCTAACACTTATAAAAGTCCTGTAAAGCCAGCAATGGTAGTACTTGAGCCTCGTGTAAATTCACATGCCTCAGGGTGCTACAGCCCCAAACGTCTGCTGTAGCAAACTGCATTTCATTTACAAATACACAATTAAAAACCATTTTTTTGGATGTACGTAGTGTCTATGGTTGTAAACAACTACTGCCTTAAATTCCTTCAAGATTTTTACTGATTAAAACTGATTAAAGCTATAGCAAGAATAGTTATCATGCCAGAATTCCATAGTTTTTAAACAGAATCTTTTATTAAGTTAAATTTCCAGAGGGGTCATCAAAAAGACAGAATTAAACAGACATGCAACACTGCTTACAAAAAAAAAATGAAGCAGTTCATCCTCAGGGTTCAACACTGCAAAACCACATTTATACACACATTTCCATATGAACATTTTATACATTCAGTCAACACTGCAGCTCTATGCCACAGCATAAAGCTATATGCAAGATATACAGTGAGAACATATTAAGTGCACTGAGAAGCCACACAGTGTATAGGCCACAGGAGTCAGTTCACATTTGTTAAAGAAGCTAGGAGAAAGTCAAGGACCTATTCTGCCCAATTCATAATGGAGACAGCAGTCAGTTGGATTATGTGCACGCTTTTTCAGTGTTTGATTCTGAACAAAATGCTGCACATTTGGAAATCTAGCTATGCTCCACTGTTTACAGCACACTACTTCTCTGTGGACCAGCTGTGGATAAACTGAAGCTTTGACACTGCATGTGTTAAATGATGTGCTTTACAGGAACAGGTTACTTTCCATGCTGAAAAAAAAAAAAAAAAAAAAGCACGTGGCATGCAGCTCTCCTTTAAATCTTTAGGGGCAGTTTAGTCATAAATGCCTGCTGCAATCCCAGGCATGACCACTGTTACCTCAGCCCTAGAAATATTCTGTAACAAGTCTGAGGGTACAGAGGACTTCTCATTTTCAGTTTCCAAGATCTGAATTAGAGAAAAGGTAAGGATGTAATTGTAATCCTGAGCTATTCCCTCCTCCTGTTAGAAAGACTGGATAAGCCCTATACTCAGTTTACTTGTGCCGTCTCAGGAACAGAGACGGCATCTATAAAAACACAGTGCAGAGCAGCATGTACAATCTTCTGAAAGCTTGTGAGAAAGAACAAGAAAGGAGAAAGTACATTAAAAAAAGTTAAAATTCAGGTATTGCACATAGGCACCACGAAGGGGTGAGGTTCAGTCTGGCAGTCCTACCACTATGCTTACCGTGGCTAACAGACTGACAAGAGTGCAGCTCTCACAACACCAGCGCACTGAGTTCAACACTATAACCCCAAAAACTCCTCAGGCTTTACTGATTTGTGTGCTCTAGAAATAGACACACAAATAGCAATATTTCACATTACTCAATAGGAATTACCTCCCTTGGAATCTGCTGTCAGAAAGCTCCTAAAAGCAAGGTGTTAGGAATAAAAACAGCCTTACAATTAGGAGAAAAAGCTAACCCGAAAAAACAAGTGGCTGTGAAGTCTGCACATCAATCAGTTGCAGTTTTTAAGTACTACTTAGAAACTGAGCACTGGGAAAACAATGCTCAACTACACAGGATCACCCTATGAATAGAATTCAATAGCAAGCCCTTTTCACATCCTTTTGATTAATATTTTACTTACATATTTTATACCATCTCTGTAATAATTAAACAGTATTGCCATGTAAAATGTGGAGTTCGTAGGTTTAGCACAGTTGCTCTTAAAGCAGCTTGTTTCTGTGCCTTCAGAACTATTAGGTCAATTACCTACTGCCTCATTCATTAGAAGGAAAGAGACAAGCCATACTTGTACTCATACCTTTCCCAGCCAGCCCCCACTGTACTACTTTGTTTTGTATTACAAGGAACAAAAGCCACACATAACTTCACAACCGATTACCAGGGACACAGGCAGTAGAACCAGCGTCAACTCCAACAAGATTAATGTACTGGCAGAATTAGCCCATTAACACTGTTATCTTATCTAAGCATAAAAAGTATTGTGGGCAAAAGAAAAGTTGGTATTTCTTGAGGTTTCCTAAGCTGCAGTGCATGCGACGCCACTAGTTTCAATTGTCAGATATGTCAAACTGAAGAAGCAACTTCACATATAGGCACATGCGCAGCCTCTAGGCATCTTCACTTCACAGGGGTAGGAGTTTATTTTTATTTAAGTTGCACAAAACTGTCAATGCAGTCTCATGTATTACCAGATTAAATTAGTATTCATAGCTGGCAAGGAAAACATATGCAAAAGAGTAGTTCTGTTGTCAACTGTAATAACATGAAACAGTAGAATTATTTATAAGTCAGATAAGCTCTCAGGTAGTGGAAAAAGAATCCGGTTGTGAGTCAAAAAAGAAAAAAAAGGAAAAATGCAGGAAGCCACAACTTTAAGTTCAAGATCCTTCCGAGCCCCTTAGAATCAGAATTACCACTTAAAAATGCACAGAACACATTCACTATTCATTTCAAATTAAGTCTTCTAAGGTCACGGAGACACCCTACTATGCATACAACCCAAAATACAACAACGTAAACTTAAAATTTGGTTTCCCAGTAAAATTATTGCTATCAAAATACCAAGAACAGCTGCATACTCTTGTAAATGTTGTACTTTGTCCCCTTCACTTAACCGTTTTACACCCCGTGTCTGTTTCTCCCTTTGTAACAGCTTACAGCCATCTCTTAGAAGGTGGAAAGATAAATATCTAAGTACACAATGCTTCATTATTCTGGCAGTTCTCACTGAGCGCTGGACTGTGCGTTCTCATTTTTCCTACTAGGTCATTCACAATATTAGGACAGTACCTTTTTTGCTTCTTAGAATAAAGGAGCATAAAATGGCACCCCTACCTACAACACCGTAACACTGCCAAAGGAATGCTGACATCTTTAAGCATTTAAAACTACTAAACAAAGTTGCAAACCCTATCTCGACTACAGAGAGAAAATAAAAATGGTAAAGAATTGGAATCTCATCAAGACCGACTAAAATATCCTTCCAGTCACGTTACTACAGTGCTGTCTCTGTAGCCTTCGATGCAACTTGAAGCTCTTTCTGTGAAACCAGAGAAATAGCAAACAGTCCTTGTTCTAAACTGCCATGTAATCCAGTGGTGCTAGATAAAGAATTAACGTGCTCAGTGCATACATTCAACACAAGCTAGAGAATGGCTATACAAGAAAAGCCCAAGAATACTCAGTAACTTTCAGTGTTCGTGCTTGAAAATAATTAAATTTTATTGCCATGTTAAGGTAGCATGGTGGTTACGTTAGAAACATGAGGGCTTACAACTTTTCTAAAAATTCGTCAATCTCTCTATGTAAAAGATTAAATCCTTTCCTCATCTCACTGTGAACAACGCCTGAAAACCTCTATTTGGAAATAAACCACTCCCAGCAGGGCTAGAAATTGCATGGTTACTTCTCTTCCCACAGCATCTGCTATTTCATTAGTTTCCTAAAGACGCGATACTGTATTCATTATTTCATGCTCTCAGCAGCCTTCAACGGAGGACAGTGACTTACTTCTTGCTAAGAGGAATGCTTTCAACTTCACAGCTACAGAGAGTTGCTTATTTTAATAATCAGTAGTTAAAGTAAAGTTTGAGACAAACTTTAAACTATATCAAAGTCGGCTTAACACTTGCCTACATTTTA